TTTAATTTAAATGTTAGAGAAATTCATAGGAACAGCTGAAAATTATTTTAAAACTTTTATAAAGTATTTTTTTCAGGTATACCGAATGATTTGAACTACTTACTATATAAAATTACTTAGAGCAATGATATTCCCCGATACTTTCCATTGAAAAATGCAGTGTACCGATGGTACACTGGTACAGCAGCTCGTCATTTTTAACAGTTTAATACTACTTATTAAAACATATGAAACCTAGGAACTTGAAACTTAGTACTACGGTAGTACTAAGGTTTGTTTTATGTTTTGATACACTAAAACAAATAAAACAATCGGGAAAATCACTCTACGTATGTTAAACAAGCAATTAAAAAGTGATATGTAAATTTAGGATAAATGAGTTTTTCAATATTTGTTTTGTTTATGCTATTTCTAACAAACTTAATCTGTTTGGTTACATTTTTACTTCTCTAATAAGGGCTCAATTTACACTAGTCTTTAGATGTACGGGTTAAAATATCAATGTAACCCCAACGCATTTCATGTTGTTTAAGATGACCATTGATGAAATTTGAAACTGAGTTTAAGCCCAGGGGGTTTGTTAAATAGTAATTTTGGTACGTGTGTCAAAAAGTTTTTAATCGGTTTAAAGCAGATAAGACCAAAAATGTAGAATTTAGTTATACACAAACAATATTATTGAAATTAAATGAGATGTAGTTGTGCCCTGGTCTATATATCAGAAAAAGGAGGATTTTTATTTTAACTGTTAATTTTCTACAAAAATAAATAAAATCTAACAAAAAATCACTAAGTGGTAACACTTTCCCCGCCAAGTCAGCAACCCAAAAAAGAAAATAAATCATTACTTTTTCCGCCAAGAAAAACAATGTAATGTATGTAAGTTTGGCAACTTGGCGGCAGACTTTTGCTCGATCACTTTAAAAATACCATAAAACTAGTTTCATTGAGCAAGTATCTCTCCCATTAGTACATTGCAAGGTGAGAGCTTATTTTACAAAACTTGACCTTATTTGTGCCACATTTCATAAAATCATAATAGTGATGGTTTTATATTTACTGATTACCTCGAAATTATTATACTTAGTTGGACTAATTAATTAGAGAAGTTGATTTGTGAAATTATCCACGAACGTAACTTAAATGAAAAAAAACAAGCAAAAGTCTGCCGCCAAGTTGCCAAACTTACATACATTACATTGTTTTTCTTGGCGGAAAAATTAATGATTTATTTTCTTTTTTGGGTTGCTGACTTGGCGGGGAAAGTGTTACCACTTAGTGGTTTTTTGTTAGATTACATTGTCTTACAGCAACTGAATTTTTTTTGTCTGCATAGCTCTTGTTTTGTAAGGCTGCAGTGGCTAAAGGCCCTCTGAAATGTTTATACACACTTAAGTTTTCCCACTTGACGCTATTAGTATTCCTGGTTTCTTTTTTCAACTCACACGATGACGACTGACTATGAAATAACATATGAAAGCCAAACAACTAACTTGGTACAACCCTCGTTAAATATCGTCAGTCTGCAATCCAACATGTCCACCAGTATTCTATTGAAAGCGGCGAGAGCTGATAAGAGATAAGACACCGGCCGCTCCTTATCTGTTATCAGTGGACGTCGTCTGCTAGGGACGAGCAGTAGCGTAGACATGATGTGGTTGTGCGTTTGTCTTGCCAAGAGCCCTCATCATCTGTTCAGGAGGAAAAAATGTACTCGCTGTCGAGCTAAAAGAGTAAGTTCTGTAAGAAAATTTAGTAAAAAACTTCAAGCAGTTTTACCAATTTTATTAAAGTAATGCAAGGGAGTTGTACAGATCTAATAATAAAAGGAAGATTTAATTTAACCAATAGCACTGGATATAATCACATCGTTATGTGTGAGGGGGGTCCACTCTAAATTGTAGTACCTATGTCAGTTAAGTTGTAGTTTGCTTAAACGGATGTTTACTTGGACTTTGTCAAGCTCTTGTTTGTTGTCTGTATCGGTTTTTATACGAGTTACTTAGGAAACATTTGGATGTAAACAATTTTTGTTCGGTAAAGTAATTTTCAATGTTTTAGGTTGTTCCAAAACATTTGATTAAATTTAACCGATTTACAGGGCATTACGTGTACTATTTTGATTCAGAAGTAAAGTAAAAGATTGCGGACCAACATTCTACATTTATTTGATGCGTATTTGTTTGCAGCCATGTTTTTCTTTTACCGATCCAAACATTTTTACGTGAGCCCAAGGGAATTTTAACTTTAAGGGGTGACCTTTTCTGCCTAATTCTCCTAAGGGATGACCGTATCTTTCCTATTGGAAAGTTACTGTTTTGTGATATCTTATAAGCATTGACTTTAATAGTCAATGCACCTCCGTTATTTGGGCCACCATTGATGTACGATTAAGTGTAAGCTTTGCAGTAAGTTGTATATGAATCTCATCTATAGTGATCCTACATTATAGTTTTCACAACAAGTGTAAGACATGTTTCAGTAAACTCGTTCGTCACTTATTAATACTAAAATGCCATAACTTAAAAGTTTTCTAAACAAATCCTAGCCTTTTATATTGTCTTTGGGCTTAGCAATCAATACATTACCGATTCAACTGTATCAGTTTTATGGAAGTTCAATGTTGCGTAGGTAAAAAATTGAACACTTTTGGCAGTCACATTTTGTAAACATATCCGCGGCCAACAATGTGGCAATTTCGCACTCGCTGGTCCACTGTATTGGTAATGACAGTGATAACATACGTGTAATCCATTAGCATTGCGCAGACGATTCATAAGAACAGCTGTTTCAGTAGGCCTGGACTGCTGTGTTGCCACTTTTATCTCGCAGTGGCCTTACAGAGAAGGCTTTAGAAATATTCATAGACATGAAATAGGCCTAACAGCTGTATTTTTCAACCCGTCGAACAAGATTTTTTTGTATTTAATCGTCAACTTAAGTTATATATTATTTCGAAAGTGAATTTCAATGAGGATTATTTGCTCTGCTTTTTCGACACTTCCCCTTACGCTTTTTCTGTCTATAGACATAATTACTACAATACAATACATATAGTGAAACCGGATATGTCGTGTAAACGTTCTGAAGACCAAAATGTAAACCTTGTTTATGTAAAGCACGACACAGGTCGGGTTTTGCGGTAAAACGCGACCGCCGTGTTATGTTTTACGACCGGAGTTGTAATCGGCCAAGTTGTCTCCGAAGCTTTGAATCATTTTTATGCTTCCCAACCATGGTACACCAAGAAACGCTTTTGAAAATACAAAAATGTTTTAATAAATTATGGGAAATTGTTACGGGTTTTTGTACTTTTATCGTTTACTTTATCGATTTTTTCCTGCTGATTATGAAATCGTTCTTCTTATGGAGTGGTTTCCAAAATCTAAAATTTTCAATTCTTTAACAGTTGGAGTTAAAAATACTCTCTTGTGCACTGCAATCGTTAATCTGATATAAAACCACTTATTTACTGAGGTAAAACGAGTAGGCCTAATCAACCATTGTGCAAGCTTAAACTTAGTGGTATCTTAGGAGTGAGGTGGTTTCAGTGCTAATAGTAGTTAAGTTTCACCATTGAATTTTTTAGGCTAAACTTATCGTCTAAATGAAAAATTTGAATCATGTCATGATGTGTGTTTTATGGTGGTAGCTTATGAGTGTGAATGGTTGAGGAAATAAATTATTTCCTTTTAGCGTACATTTTTCATTTAGGTGTGAATGCTAGAGGAGAAGCAATTGTTTATGAACATATTGTTTGATTGGTGAATAAAATGGCCAAACTATGTGAAATAAATTATAAAAAACAAAAGCAACCGTTCATAAGTATTACAAGTAGGATAGATCTAAAAAGCGGAACAATAAGTTGTTCAAAGTCAATTTCAACATGATCTAAAATTTACCCTACAAAATATTTAGACTTAATTTCAATTTTACCATCCCAACATCTCAGCCACTAACTTTCAAGGAGCCCCTTTATGTGATAACCTTTCTGCTATAATGATAATGATAAGATTTATTATCAGTTTTATCAATGAGTAGTGTCTTTGTCCAAAGCCAAGAATATAACTGGTAATGATGGGCATATATGATCCGTTTATGATTTAACATCACTGATGTATTCGTTAGATTTAAATTCCTTATTTTGTTTGTGTACAGCTAGCATGTATGTAATGATTAATACATACTATAATCTGATTTTGGTTAAATTTGGTGCAACGTGTAAACCAATATGTATTCGGAAAAGTTTGTTTTGTATACAAACTGAAGGTTTTAAGGTGGCTTTAAGGGTTAAAGTTAGATTTTGATTCATTTTTGGTCCTTAAAACATTATTTTTACAATTTGTGTTACGATGCTTGCCCAGTATGTTATGGAGTAAAAAAAAGACACTTGGCAAACAAATTGCACATTATATATTTTCTCAATTTATTACTATATGGCAACCAACAAGTCTTACCTACTTCCAAAGTAGAAAAAATCATTTATTTTAAATACAACGCCATTCAAAGAAATAATTAGAAACTGTTAAATATTTAAATAACTTTTTCCTAAGCATTTGGTTTACTTGTTCACAAAATACAATTAATTTGTGAAATTAGAGTTTTGAAGTCATAAATAACTGTTTGTGTACTGGTAGGTCTGAAAATTGTTTGTTCAATTAATTAATTGTCATTTGGAATGAGCAAAATAGTGTACTAACCATTGACATATCAGCTGTTTGAAAAAAAAATTGAAGTCATCAAAATGCCACTTTGTATAACACCATTGACTATTGAACACCCAGTGCTCAATTTGAGGGGGCGGGGGGAATGGTAAATAGGTACATAAATAGGTTCCAATCACATTAATTAAATAGGTTACGGTACATAAATAGGTTGTAATCACATTAAATAGGTTACAGTTCCAGCACCTCATGTTTTACAAATCAAACACTGATAACACCTGTGGATAAATATGGTACAGTAACTTTCAGTTCAATAATGGTGACATTTTCTTCCAGGGAGATTCTCCTTTTGGCAAGTCAGAGGCTTACATAAAACTAGAACAGTTGGGGGAAGGATCCTATGCAACTGTCTTCAAGGGATATAGCAAGTAAGTGTTACAATCTATACATAAATGATCAATATATTTGTAATATGGTTCCAATTTTGCTCTGCAAAATATGTAAAATAGAACTGACCATTCACTGAACTGATTTCATTTCACTTACCCCGAGTATTTTCATTCTAATTCTAGATACAAGGTACAAATAACGATTTGATTTAGGGAGACTTTAATTTAAATTGAAGCATATATTTTCAAATATACTTAAATATACTATTTGATGGGTTCATAACAGTGGTTTATTTGGTCGGATCGAATAAGATGGTAAGTCAAGTATACCTCATAATATTTGTAATTGACAATCATTTCAAGAAAATGAAAACATAAATCAATACAGGGAAATACCCTTATCAACTCACTTGGAGGTGTGAGGGGGCACATATTTAATCATAATAAAACAAAACAAGGAAAACTTGCATTTGTGCTATATTTTACGGAGTAGAGGCTTAACCAATTATTAACACTATATAACAGATCTTTTATTTTAAGTTATTTTTTAATTAATATAGGTCTCTTCAGTTTTGATGAATACATATTTTTTTAATACTCCCAAGTATCATTAGAATCTAATTAATCTTTATATGGTTAGTTAAAACTACAAAATGAGAGCATTATAATAAGCAATATAAAAACAAATCCAGAACTCAATTATAATAGGAACTTTGATAAAGAATAGTAACAATGCTGTTTGGCCATTCAAAATTGATCAGCTGAATTTATGAACCCATAACAAGTTGTGTTGTGTCTTGTGTAACAATGTATTTTAAAACTGAGGAAAAAGTTAAGAGTTTTTTCTGGGCTATTGTCTTTAAAAATAAATTTAAAGCAATATATTTGGCTAAATCAACCCAGTACTGGTACCTATAGTTCTAACTTCAAGAAAATCAATTAAACGGAATGCTATCCTACTAGAAATGAGGCCAATAAGAAAAATTCCAATCCATCTATTTTTGAAGATGTCATTCTGTTGTTCCTCCATAATTCTGATTCATCAGAAACAAATTAAACTCAGGGATGTGTTTTACATTTAAGTTTGTTAGTCATGGAGTTTATTAAATTAACGGCAATTCTTTTGAGATCACTGTTCAAAATAACAAGAGCAACGGTGGTGGGGAAGTGATCTTATTCGCATGTGCATCCCACTATCCTTCTAATTGACACAAATCTATTCTATAGAAGAGAGGTAGAATATCATAATTCATGAGGGTATACAAATCGTTTTGTTCATTACCTACAATATTTTATTATTGAATCCCAAATTACAAAATGGTACAACAATAGGTGCTAAATGTTTTGCCTGCGCATTGACTAAACTTTTTCTTAAATATTAATAGAAAAACATTTTAATTTAACACACTTATTTGACTTTTTCAGTCTGACAAACCAAGTTGTGGCCTTAAAAGAGATACGGCTTCAAGAAGAGGAAGGAGCTCCATTTACAGCGATACGAGAAGCTTCACTTCTGAAGGAACTGAAACACAACAACATCGTGACGTTACATGACATAGTACACACTCGTGAAACACTTACGTTCGTCTTCGAGTATGTGGTAAGTAGATAGTACTTACTTATGAAACACTTACTTACGTTCGTCTCTGAGTATGTGGTAAGTAGGGATGTTACACACTGTGTTTCTCGAGTTTAAGTGTTTGTTGTAAGTAGAGATAAACTGATCCATGAAATTTTGGGTAATTTCAGGTGATAAAACTAGAGTTGGAGTTGGTTAATGATTACTCTCTTATGGATCTTTCTAGTTTCTCAGTATGAATAGATCATCAACTACAACAGACAACCCCATTTTCATATGGATGTAAACAAAATTGCATCATGGTCATCTGTTTTGATGTAAACTTGAAAAAGTTCAGATGATTCACAACAGAATTCAGCACAAACTATGAAATTTTAAAAGCCTATAGGACGAAGTGTTTTCACAGGATATCATTCAAACCCGCTAAAGGCACATCTACAGGATAAGAGCTTTAAATTGATACCCTATATGCCCATAAAAATAGATATTCAGGGGTCGCGATTTGCTGCACACAAAAATCCATCAAATTCTTGTAATAATATAGATGAATATTTACATTAGCATTTGTGTCATTGTATCTTTTAAATAAAACTTGCTAAAAGTGAGCACCTGAGAAAAGTTAGTAGCATTTGATGGTTTAAAACTGGACCCAGCTGCCCAAGATCATTTGGCTTATAAATGGTCCTGGCTTATATGGAGTAGCTGATCTTATAGTCGGCAACAAAGCTACACAGATTTCCTCCCTCCATTCTACACTCATCTGGCATTATTATTCAACAGAAAATACAAACATAGGTGTACGTCACTGTTGTAAAGTAAAGATAATGCCTTAGTTGTTTGGTATTACATGATTACCCCTGTTGCAGCACACAGACCTGTCCCAATACATGGAGAGACATCCCGGAGGTTTGAATCACTCAAACATCAAATTGTTCCTGTTCCAACTGTTGAGAGGGTTAGCGTACTGTCACAAACGTCGGGTGTTGCATCGCGACGTCAAACCACAGAACCTTCTCATAAGCGAGATGGGCGAACTCAAACTGGCTGACTTTGGTACGAGGTTGATTTATTTGGGTTAAGTTCAAGAATTTGCAGTGGAAATTAACTTTGGACAATGTATGATTGTTGAAGAGAGAGTTTTATATGAAATCTTAGTTTAAAATGCTGTCAGTTAGTGAAATATTCTTTTTTTTTTACAGTGTAAGTTTTTTAGCGAATTTCCCTATAGGGAAGTAGCTATTACCGTAGGTGGCACGGTAAGACCTAGACCCGGGACCGATTTACTTTTTCATTTTGATGTCCCCAGAGGCCAAAAACACCATTCGTTCAAATTTTTATATATATATATATATATATATATATATATATATATAGACTTATATATATATACGTCCGTGAACGCGATAACTTGAGTAATTTTTGTCCGGTTTTGATGAAATTTGGTTTAAAAGTGTAAAGCGGGATAAACTTGAATGAGTTCGCGAACCAGCATGATCGGACCATGGGAACGGGGCTTTACGGGGGGTTTTATGGGGTAAAAATTGGTTTTTCTCACTTTTGACCCTCAAAACACAAAATTTCCCAATTTCTCTTTAGACCTTTTTAAAGAGCTTAAAAAAAAAATTAATTTAGTATATAAAAGTATTTTTGTTCGGTTAATAGTAACGGAGAAAATTTAAAAAATTTTTAATTTATAATTCCCATGTTATTCTTATGGAGATTATTGTAAAATATTGTAGTTTGCTTGTTTATGGATATATTTTGTATTTTGATCAAATTTATTTATTTTGTACTAAGCTATCAATATTTTACAAAAAAACACACTTTATTAGTTTCCTTGTAGCAGCAAACCTAGGTACTCGTTAAACTTAATGTTATTAAAATATATTTAATTGAAAATCAATTAAGACAAATGGAAATTCGCTTAGTCGGCAGGTTTGCTGCGGCGGGGGTATTTTTCTAGTCCTGGTTTGAACTCTTTATCATTCAGTTAAGCCTACTATCAGACCCACTAACTATAAGCCTACTAGTTATGCTATATCAGAGAGCTATGGGGAGCGAGCTGGCGTAGTGGTTAGAGCACAGGACTTCAGTCCCTGAGGTCCCGGGTTCGATCCTCGTCAAGTCACCAATGGATTTTATCTAAGTGATAATACCGCAACCCCTAGATCTAGCCTAGCGTCCTAGAAAAAAAAAACTATCCTCACAAAAATAATTAATATGACAACATTTCCAAATGTCTATAAGCTTTAACAATTTTCTGTGTAACACATTCCTGTCAACCCTTCTTCTGCGCTTTTTGGTCCAACAGGCACGGATTTGAATTTAAAAACCTAATAGAAAAACTTTGCCTTTAGAAAGACAATGTGTTTAAAGACTTCCCAAGTAATGCAACTTTTGTTCCACAGGTCTCGCCAGGGCCAAGTCTGTCCCGTCACACACATATTCTCACGAGGTGGTCACTCTATGGTACAGACCTCCAGATGTGCTGCTAGGCTCTACACACTACTCCACGTCACTAGATATGTGGGGAGTGGGCTGTATCTTTGTAGAGATGATCACTGGAGTTCCTACCTTCCCAGGAGTCAGGGAGACGTACGACCAGTTAGATAAGATATTTAAAGTAAGTTTTATTCAACAGATTGGTAAGTCTTAATCGACTGAATGGACTGTTGTTGGAAGAAAACTTAATAGTAAAGTTTTACAATTCATTGCAACCCTTGGTTGGAATATATTATTGATCAAATAAAATAATTACTTTATCCAACCAAGTACCTACTACATCGGCCAAACTGGAAGATCTTTCAAACAAAGATTTAAAGAACACACAAATGATCACGCAACATCAGAAATTCAGTTTTGTCGAACATTTAATTTTGGAATTGCACAACTACACATCTGTTGATAATAACATGGAATTAGTCGAAGTATTACCAAAAGGTTTTAAGTCAAAAAAGCATTCACCATCTACAAAGCTAAAAAACTCGACCCATGTAATATTTTAAATGATCAGACCTCTTTCCAGCCAAATATTATATTTGACACATATATTGAAAAGTTACAAGTCAAAAATAAGAAGAACAAAACAAACTGAAATCTAGGTGGCACTGGAGAGAAGAAGAAACATCATGATTCAGTCAGCTTTATTTATTCAATGGCAGTGCTGACCAGCCTGTACAGTTTTTATCAGTTTATCATTTTTATTCCATTTTTATTATTTTTTCAACATGGCGATAAGTTTTAATTATTGTGACTGACATCTTTTAAAGAATCTATTGACATACCACAATGTATTAATACATTGATGATGCGGTTGCATACTAATGACCTGACGAAGTTCTAAGGAACAAAACTAGTCGTCATACGAACAACAGTGGTTGGATAAGGTAATTATTTGATTTTATCTTTAAAGTTCTGTATATTCAGCAGTTAAGGGATGAAAAACTTGTTAAGTTTATTTAACAAATAAATAATAAAATGACTTATCACTTTGTGGTTTCTAGGCATGAACTTACTTGGATCCAAGGCTGTTAGCTCTGTTGTATCAAGTTTTTTACCTTCTGCCTGTAAATGATCAAATCATGGAAACTAAACTTGAGTTTATAAAGGGCCGGTTGAGATTACCCAGAACATTTGGTGATAACAGAAAAGTGACAGAGCTTTTACTAAACTTGTTTATTTTACAATTCAGATCATTGCAGGTTACTTTAGCTGCTGACACAAAACATAACTTTCCATTTCCTTTCCCGCTATTTTTGGTTTACGACACAGTGGCAACTTTAGTTTAGTTTTCAATGTTTCTATGGTGTTCAATTAAAACTTTTAACAATTTGTCAACTCACCCCAACATGTCAATACATCTTACCATTTCTCTGAAGTTTTTCTTTTAACATGTCAACTGAATATGTTTTCAACAGATTCTGGGAACACCCACAGAGGAAGACTGGGAAGAGGTGAGTCAACTACCGGGATACAAGCCACACAAGCTGGTGTTTTACAGAGGCCAGAAACTGGGGCTGTCGTTCCCTAGACTTTACGACATTGTGGAAGGAGAGAGCATGGCCTCGTCATTGCTTCAGGTAACTGATAATGTCTACAAATAGTAGAGCCCCTTATATCTACCTCGGTTTATTAGAAGACGCGTTCCATTACACAATTTGGCTGAATGTAAATTTCTTAGCAGCATCACTGGAGCTCTAGCCTTCAGGGTGAGCTCATAGGCAGGCAAACCGGGTGCTGATACTGAGTTGAGAAACTCTGCCGGTTAGTTTACAGCATCGTCTTCTCTCAGGACGGTGTTAACTGATTTATACGTACTTTCTTTAACGTGGAAGAGAGCCATTGCCTAAATGTTTATCTGCGTTGCCTGCTTGTTTTTAGGTGTCAGAATTGCACAATCACAGAGCAAGGCACTATCCATGTTAAGTAGTTCATGAACTACTGGAAAGAAGTTTTTTAATTACTGAAAGGTTATCAGTTTTTCCTGTAATCTGACAACACCAAGTGAAGGAGGGGCGGTTATTATCCTATTTATATTTTCTAATGTTCCGTATCCAACCTTCATCTCAGAATCTCTGAGAATTCCTCAGTTCCACGTTGATCAATGCAAACAGCTCTCATATTTAATGTGAGTGAGAGGCGTTCTATGGTTGGCCACAAAGTTGATCGCTTCAGAGAAGCATTGATCTCGTCAGCCCTCCTCCCAACACCACAACAGGCAGAATTTGTCTACAGTTACCTGAAAACATCACAGTTACTCCCCCAAGGGGTTTGGGCTGTTTCTAATATCTTTCAATGTCCCGTCCAATGCTTCAATGGGGACTTTGTGAACCGTGGTGTATTCGTCCCATACAATTAGGGAACAATCTTGAAGCACTCTAGCCATTGGGGAGTTCCTTGAAATAGAAGATTGTTACTACCTGTATCAAATAGCATCAATAAAAATTCAAAAGTATTGAAATAACAACACCAACAAAATGTTTTACCTTTCTCTTAAAAACATTATTCAGGCCTCTTACTTATGATGGTTTGTTATAATGTACATTTAATAGTATGAAAAATAAATACAAACTCTCACTACTTATGATTAGTTTAACATAAATAGCCTATAACGCGATTTTTAAAATACAACAGCAGTTTCATCAATGTTTGTATATAAAACATTCACAAACAGCCGAAACTCTATTTCATAATATTACGTAGCAAGTCACCCGTTCTATAGTCAATGGTATTATTTGCATTTTATTTAGCTTTAAATAGCTTTTTGCTTATTCTCTTCAAATTGTCAAATATCACAGTATATTTTAAATATGTGTTTTTAATTTTTTGTTCAAACTTTGGAGCACATACCGGATTAGAAGATAACAATCAACATTTTTAATAATTTTACCCTGTTTTGGTCTAACAATTTAGCAACTTTTCCAAGGTATTACAACTCAAAAAATAGTGATTTTTTTACCCACTCTAATATATACATATATACAACTTTTAATTAATAGTGTTTTTGGCCTCTAGGGACATCAAAATGAAAAAGTATATCGATCCCCGCTCCAGTTCTTACCGTGCCACCTACGGTAATAGCTACTTCCCTATAGGGAAATTCGCTAAAAACGGGCTACACTTGAGAAGTCTACATTCAAAGTCAATGTTTCAGCAGAAAATTACGGATTATTTTAAGGCCTAATTATCTTAAAAGGGAACGTCTTGTGAGTAAGTTTTACCTAATCATTATTTTACATTTAGGCCTATTTATGTTAACAAAGCTACTGTAAATAAGTTATTATTAACAATTCACATGGATAAGAATATTTTTGTCTGTTTCAGCTAAATCCGGATGACAGGATAGGTGCTGAAGAGGCTCTAAGACATCGATATTTCTTCAACCTTCCAGAGAAACTGTACGAGTTGCCTGATGGTCAGTATGGTTGTATTTTAACATTTCATTATAAATCCTACATTAGAAATAAGCCTCAGTCTTTCAACATGTGGCTTGTTATTATAGTCATAAACATTGGAGCCGTACCATGTTCAGATTATCAACAATTTGGATGGTTTGGAAATCACTCCCCCTCACACTCAGAGTTGCCCTTTGAAAATTCTACACAAAGGAAATTCATGTTTTAAAGAATGTACTTCATTTTGGTAGACAATAGTTTTTTAATAATAATAATATTAATGATGAATAAAAAGCATTTTTACAGATTATACTGCACACACTAAGTTCAAGTTCACTAGTTGAGGTCTGTGTGTGGTCTTGATTTTCAAGCCAAGTGATCAAAAGTAAATGAAATATTGGACTCGAGCCTATGGCAATCGCGTCTGTGAAGATATTGCAATTGAAAATTTCATACTTCTGCCACAATTACAGAGGATGATGAGACCATTGAAGACAATGATGATGTCTGCAAGACTGGGGAAGATGTTAAAGATTTTGCCGCAATCACAGATTATGATGAAAAGTGATATCGCTTATCGATATATGTTATCAATGTTATGTATCAATATTTTACTGTGATCATGAAAGACGATAATGATCCAATACCGATCATTATATCCAATACCGTGGGAGACGATGACAATACACGACCATCATTGTAAGCTGGTTTCTCATTTACAATCTCGTTTGTGTTTCAGAAACTTCAATCTTCAGTGTCCACGGTATCTACTTGCTGCCAGAAGGCAGAGCTCCAGGACTGAAAACCTGAATACACCTTGCATATCTCGCTAGCTCAAATTGTTATATAACTTCACATCGTCTTTTATATCTGTGTTTTTTTACTGTAAGTGTCAACTGAACTGAACAGGGTCGAACTTTACGAAGCGTACATGACATAGATCGGGCGATAAAATGACTAATGATTTTTTTACGTTGATAGGTAATCGCTGTTAAGTATTAAACGATCCTAATAGAGTTACTATGGCGATATATATTTTTTAACCGTTAGCTATTTGTCGGAGCGTCGCGGATTCATGTTCAATGTGATCGACAGCATTTCGGAAAATAGTCATTCCATGAGGAATGTGTTGCCAAACTCTTTTAACTTAGATTAGACTAGAGAGAAGGGTGGATTAGGTTAGGAGAATCATTCCTCTAATCGATTATGCTCAATCAAAGGACTGGTGTTGTTCATTGGTTTTGTTTTATACGGTTTTACAGTTCATTTTCACCTGTTTGAGTTACAAAAGTTTAAATGTTGCATTTTACTTTGTACGGCACCTTTTGACATGTGCCAAATCAGTCATTTCACTTTGTGTTGAATTGCTTGCATTTTATTGATTTGTTCATGTGTTGTTTGTTGAAATGTCAAGCTCCTTCAGTAAGCTAGTAAAAATAGATCTGATAGTACATCCTTCATATAGATTGGCACAAGTTAAAGTTGGCTTCCTTGAGCTTCTTGAACTGACAAAATGAACAATTTATATAATTATGTAATTTGTTTAATTGTGGCGTAATCGTAAGAATTCAATAATGTTTATATTAATTTATTTCTGTAACCAACCTTAACATGTCTACTATTTTAGGTAGTTGGAAAAATATGACTAATATATTATATTTTATATTTATATTACTCTTAATACCAGTCATTTGTTCAATTTTTCTTGGTGAATTTGTATTGTATTGATTATTAAAACTTATTTCCCTGAATTTGTCTTTTTTTAGGATTTGTTCAGTTTGTATTCAGTGTCAAGTGCTTACTTCAAGATTTTCACCCTTATCCCTCAGAATGTGTTGGGGGCATTTGATTGAAGTGTAATCTTCTAGTGTCTATTGATTGTTTTTTGTCTTGAAATCTTAATAAGTAATGATTTTGAAATTTTGTTAATGCCTTTTATTTAGCTTCAAATATCAACATATTGATTTTTATGCATTTTGGTAAAACATAGTACATCCTCCTCAAACCAATACGCCCAACCAATGAAAATTGATGATTGTCTGGGTATAATTTTTTGTGTGACTTGGTTCGTTTACATTTATTGACTTAATCTAAAATTAAATAGTCACTAGTCAAGTATGTTTGATTTGGATTTTATTTTTGTAAAAATCCTTGCACAAGAGATATTTTTAGATGACTGGCCAAAATAAAAAGATTCTACACCAGATTAGTTATTATTGTGGTAGGACAGAAAAACTTTCTGCTTATAAGAAGTAAAGGGTCATATCAAATATGATGACTTATTTCAGGTAAGGACTGATAAACGACTAGGTAAAGATAAATAAATAAAACTGTTTTTGAGTCTTTATCAAACCTAAATTTGTCTTCTGTATGGTCTTCCCAGTTTTCCTTTTTTACATTAATAAATAATATTGTTTCTTGTACGATCAGTCTTGCCAACAAAGGTGTAACATTTACTGTTTATATATTTCACAGTCACTTGCTATGTATCTCTGCAAAATTGGACCATGGTGGTCATAAGTTATTTGATGAAACTTATTTATTGATGTTTTTAAAAATGTAACCAAAAACCTTGATTTTTTAAATAAAAACAATGGCAAAATTGCAATGGCAAAGCTACACAAGTATTGGTAAATTTTAATTTTAAAACTTAGCACTAAATGGTCAAAATTTGGTTTCACTATAGATAGTTTGCTCTTCAAATCATGATTGTTTACAATTCAAGATGCTACTTGATCAAAATATTTTATCCGATCTTAAGTTTTCTTGTAAATTTTAATTTTTAACCCAGACCCCAAGTCAACTTTTTATAGCGGTTAAATGAACTGTTTTTAGACATTTACCGCTGTAATGATTTTTTTTTTCAATAGTGTTTACACACAATTTTATCTCATTTTTTGTCTGGAACACATCAAGAAATTGTATTAAATATATAGCCTAATATGAACAATATGTTTGTATTGTACAAATTTCTAAGCGGAAAACATGTATAAAGAATGTAGCCTGGTTAGTGAAGCCTTGGCTGAGGTATTTCCAAATTATAGAGCAAAAAAAAAACACATTCATAATGTAACTTTATTGATGGAGCTCTAATTTAGTTACAAATTTTAGACTCCTAATAATAGGCTACTGTATGAGATTGGAAGGAGTCCATTTTATTTCGCACCGTCCCTTGCTCTGCCATATAGTGTGCATTTTGAACCATCCTGTAAAATACAAGCTCTCTGTATATAGTTGTATAATGTGTAGATTATTTAGCCGCAGAATAGAATTTGTAATGACAAACCTATGAAGTAGTAACAGATAATTCAACTTTAACAATTAGTGTTAGCATCATAAATAACAATAATAGGAAACTATTTTAAAACTTTAACATCGAGGTAATTTTTGTTGTTTGAAAAAATAGGGGTGCCAAATTGTCCAAAATAACTGTTACTTTTGGACACAACAGTGTTTGTTCGGGATCCAACAACAAAAGCATGATTGTAGACTGTGCACTGCAGACTTCAGACATATAATACTGTACACTAATCCGACAAGCCAGGTTAAATACAGTAGCAATATTTTTAAATAATTCGTAGAATTGTTTAAAATGTTTGCAACTAAGTTTCGACCAAACTTTTCAACACTTTCACAGATTTCGGAACTGTATTTATCCACAATTGTAGAATCAGAAAGATATGCCATAGAATTGTTATAATTCAATATTGTTTTAGGTATCTTTTATAGGTTTGTAAAAGCTCTTAAACATACTGTTGATCTCTATTCGTAATTGTTTAATGTCTTGTAACATAATGTTCGGTTTAAAATGCACACTATTATAAATACATCTGTAATGTAATGCATCTGTAAATATCCTGTGGTTATTTATATTACTTGAAACCAGATTAGAAATTATATTAAATTTTAATGTGAATTTGTATCCCGATGTTTTATTTCTAACCCTAAATCTGCCTTACCTCGTTGGGTAAGATTGGATAACTGATTGGTAATAATCAAGGCCGACTAGAAAAACTTTTTCTAGTGGGGCCTTGTAATAGTGCTAGCCTGACAATCAGAATATTATTGGTTCTATCCTGAGAGTCAGTAATTTGATTAAACGTTCCCGATCGTAACCCCCCACCACCACCACGCCGTGCCGATGTCGCAAAGTTAGTCTCTTCTCTTGAGGAAACACCATTACCGCAACGATACGAATTAGAGCCATGAGCCTTGGTGGTGTAGTGGATATAGCTTGTCGGGCTGATAATCTGAAGGTGCCGGGTTCAAACCCCGCTGGTAGCACTAACTTTTTGTCAAAAATGTTTTTCATATCAGCAAGTTTGGTTGGTTTGGTTAGGTTATGACAGTTTAATTATATTTAATTTAAATTTAACCTACAAACAATACTTTTTAACAGTCACAGTGATAGAGATAACAATTTGCCGCAAATTGCTGATGGGCCGGTATGATTTGGAAGTGTACGGCATGGTGCGGTGGAGGGGGGTGTTACGATCGGGAGAGTCTCGTGTAATTTGGTTTGAAACTGGGCCCAGCTGTTATTGTATTAGGATTTTCATCGATTATTCATTCTGGAGAAACAGCTGGTCTTAGTTAACACTGATTATCTCACTCCATTCTATAGTCAGCATCTATAGGGGGTTGAGTGTATGCACTGAAAGTGTAAGGCTTTTTGACTTTTGATTGTTGTTAAGGGCATGGCATCTTGGAGATGACAAAAACCTATGTTGACGCCCTTCGCCCCTTCCAGCAGGACTGACGTCTAGAGCCTTAGTTAACCCTTTGCGGTCTAGAGGCCATTTATACTGCCCACTGTCCATTTCAAGCTAGATATGGCAATAAATCTTTGTTGTTCACACAGATACACTAGGCCACTTATAGTGCCCACTGTTGTTTGGCGTCAGGTGTGATGCCATATCCCAGATAGCAAAAACTGTTTGCAGCCAATAAAAAAAGGTTACAGAAAAGTTGGTTTTGCAAAAAAACTAATTTCCTAAAAACCTATGTAAGTTTGCTGCAAACTTGTAGTTGACGCATGCTGAACTTGCAGCAAGTTAACTGCAAATGTTATTTGCAAATAAATAACTATTGCAAACTCAAAGTTTTCAAGAGACATAAAAAAATATTTGCTGTAAACTTTATTGGCAAACTTTGAAAATTTACAAATAGTTAAATTTTGCAAACTGAAAGTTTACAAATAAATTATTTTGTGCAAACTAAATATTTACAAATACCAACTTTTGCAAACTTAAACTTTTCAAAAAGTGTTAAAATGTTTGCTGCAATTTATAAGCAAAATTGGAAAACTTACAAACTATTAACTTTTGCAAACTGATCTAAGTTTTCAAGAAACCTTAAGATGGTTGCTCCAAATTTATAAGCTTGACTACTGTCAGGCAATAGACTAATAGGAAATAAATAAAACTTACTCGCTCAAAAATGGTATCTTATTGCAGTATTATCAGTATTATATGTCTGAAACAACAATCTTCATAAAATGGATAGGCTAATTTTAAGTTCAGTCTGTTTTCAGATATGTTACGTTTAAAACATCCGCTAGACTAAAAGTTCTGTCTTTTTACCAAAAATTGCACGGGAATGCAGCGAGTGCCATAGTTAGGGTTTTATTTATTTACGGTATAACCATTTTACAATAATATAAATATACATTCATTTATTCAAGATAATAAATATAAATAAATAATAACAATAAGCAACAACAATAATAACAATAAATAATAATAATAATAAAATGATAAATATGACAACATAGTTGGTATGTACTTTTTTCCTTTTAGTTGGATAAACATAAATCTATATGGAATTACGACAACATAACAATTTGGACGTATTTAACAACAACAAGTGAACACAGAAATAACCCTCTTAAGAAAAATTACTCAAAGCAAGGCGACAACCAGGTGCTGAACACTCTGTTCACTGGAGGCAAATATATCCACTTGCGGCAATACAAGTTTGCCAAGCTGCTGGATGTGAGCCATGATGGTTGACTGATGGGCGTAGTTGGTGCCATGTTACCTTCGTGCAAACATGTCTCTGGATCTTGTGGCAGATGGAACATATGGAAGAAGATCCTCCCAAGCAGGTAAGGGCAGTCCACACGTCCATTAAACTTGTAGCTTTTAGAGGAAAACAACATCAAGTTCTACGCGTCTGGTTCTGGTTTGCAAGCTTGGAAGATTCAGTAAGTTGGATACCACACCCAATGGAACTTCAAGATAGCGATAGCCCAGCCGGAATCCCACACCACTCTCAAAAGTATATTTTGAATCCTCAAAGGGCGATAATCTCGTATTTGTGGGTTAATCAGTGTCAAAGGGTGACTTCATGAGGAGACAATACTACGGAGCAATACTCCAAAAAGGTCTCACAGTACAACAGTACAGGATTTTAAGTGGCCGCACAGTTGCAAAGTGTTTCCCAGTGGTAAGATGTTTTGAGCATTGAACAAGAAGTCCCGTCCCCAACAAGAACCGGAACAAGAAGTCCGGCTCTACTATCTTGCAGGCAAATCCTCTCAACATGGGCCTTACAGGATGGCAGTACCTCAACTCTAAGATCCCTGATGGATGCAGGCCTGGTGAGAATATCACCCTGTAGTCTATAGGCATAAGGAGTAGTTGTTATGTCGTTATGTGAAAGGTAAAAGTGATGCACTTTTTCAAATTCAGGCTAATTCTGTTATCCATGCACCGATGCACCACTTGTAAATGGCCTGAAGATTGTCCTGAAGAACACTATAGTCCTGTTCGGAACCGATAACACTGTATATCTTAATATCATCCACAGATAGAAGGCAATTGGTAGAAATACAGTTGAAAACGTCGTTGATGAAGATGATGAACAGCGTAGGTACCAGGATTGACCCCTGTGGTACCCCCGATGTACCGGTGAAGGCTTCAGATGTTGTAGAGGCATAATATAGTTGGAAAACCAACTAAAGTAGTGCACCAGTGATTTTATAGACGTGTAAAGCTTGTCAAGAAGGCGCTGATGACAGACCCGGTCAAAAGCTTTAGAGAAATCCAGATGGAGTGGGCTGACTTGCTCACCCCTCTCAAAGGCCTCCATCACATTTTTAGTTGTTCCACCCCACCCCCACCCACCCACCCCTTCCCGCCATCCCAATCCAATTTACAGCAACATCAGCAACCAATGGGGCCAACACCTACTCTCAATTGTTTGACAAAACAGTTCAACTTTTGGGATTCTCAGAATGTGATCATGATGACATGGAATAGTGCAACTATCGACCAATAAATCCCATTCTACACGAGCGTGAAAACCATGAGGGGGTTCAACATTTTGTGCAAACTACACGTGGCGGGATCCACGTCGCGTAGCCTGGCCCGTCGAACCATTCAACACGAGGCCTTCAGATGCAGGATGGACACGGTGGAGCTCAGTTTTATAGCCGTACCGGTAGTTCTCCAACTTTATAGCTATTAATTTAGACTTATTCTTATTTTTTGTTTATTCACATCAAATAGAAATATTACTTACTCAAACTTAGATACATACAAAATCGCTTATCTCTAACGAATAAATTGCAATACTAATTTTAACCAGAAGAATTTCTGGTTGTCAATCATGATTTTTTTAGCGAGTTGCCCTATGGGGAAGTAGCTATTACCGTAGGTGGCATGGTAAGACCTATGCCCAGGACCGATTTACTTTTTTTATGTCCCCTGAGGCAAAAAACACCATTCGTTCAACAAATTTATATATATATATATAAAGACTTGTGAACCGTCCGCTTAAAAAAAGTCAAAGCCTGGAGTCAACCGACCACTGTACTCCAGTTGAGAATATTTTGGCGCGCTGACAAAATGTGGCCTCCGTTTAATATTGAAGTACCATGCGTTGCACCGAATATAGGCTCAACACCATTGCCTAAAGTATTATAATTTTTAGTTTTATCCTTGAAACAGTCTATCCAGAAATTCTGGTCAACGATGTCGCAGGTACTAAAAGTATCACACCTCCCTGCCCTGTGGCAAAATGAGGTGTGACGAATGTTAACCTTTCAACACCGATGTTTTCGTTTTTAACATCGAATGTTGCCCATGTATCTTCAATAGACATTGGTCTAACCGCATTTCACATCCCCTTTCCGTTATGCACTATAGAAATCTTGACGATTAGGTACTGTAAAACAAAATCGGAACTATGCACTATAACTCCATGAGTTGATGCACTATGAGACACGTTCACTTTGAAACTTGTGCACAAAATCGGTATTATCATTGAGTATTATGCACTGTGAGACATTTTCATTACGAGATTATGCACTATAACACGTTTTCACTTTAGGCACATAGAACATTTTGAACTAGACACTGTGAGATTATGCACTATGACATACAACCCGTTAATGTATTTTGTTATAGTATTTAGTATTTTATTTATTTATTTCAATCCTCTTTGCAACCTCTCACGTCCTATTGGTCGACATTCCTGACCGTACGCACTCTAGACGTTCTTAAACCAAACCCGGACCAAGACCAGGTGCAGAAGCAGACGATTATGTCAGTTCAGTACTTGTTAACTGTAATGAGGAAATGTGATTATGGCAATGCTTGAATCGGTTTGTGTTTGTGAAAATTTTAAAGTTACAAGTGATAAACTGTGGAGAAGTGATAACCCAATGTCTCCAGAAAGAATAAGACATGTTCCACCAAATACTGATACGGTTCAAACCAAACCGTTTCCAATTAGAGGTAAGAACTTATATGATTGTCGTCTGCTAATAAGATGCATAATGCAATCGCTGAGTAACTTATTTAGTATTTAAGTTCTTTATAAATTAAATTGAAAATTGTTATAAACTGAGTGTAGTACTAGTAATATTGGGATCACGATACTGCTTGGATTTTAAACCACGATTAATCTTGACTGCTGGACAAAAGTGAGGTTAGGTGTTTAATATAGGTCAGTGTACATCTTGCAGTCCATGTTTTCTTTGAATGTTTAATGCTGTAGCTTTTTTTCAATTCAATATAATTCAAGTACACTATGGATTACAAATGAAATTACCATCCTTCCACTTCAAATCAAAATTATTCAGTCCTAAGATCTTTGGCCTAAGTTAGGCAAGAGATGAGCATAGATAGGTCATGTTACCATCCATTCCATGGTAACATGGATGTCAACCATCGATGTAGGCTACTGATAACAGTGTTGTGAAAACATAAATTTTTTGGGATTAAAACATCGACGTTTTCGATGTTTTTTTTAGTTTTTTGTCAGCTCTCTTTAGCCTACTCTCTAGTACCGGTAATGGAAAACATCGATATCTCAGTACTTGGCCAAAAACATCGGTAACCTACCATCGATGTATAAAACATCGAACATCGATGTTTCGACTATCGATGCTCATCCCTACTATGGGCCTAGCTAGCTACCTTTGTTTGATCTTTCACATCATAGCACTATAAGTTTAGGCTTTTCCTAAAAAATAGCATTGAATTGTTGATTTCTGGCAATCTAACTTATTGTAAATTTATAATGACAGAAACATTTTGTAGATAGGCATTATTATTTACTTAGGCTATAACTTAGTACCTACCTACGTTAATTGTGTTGTTTATACGATTTAATATTTGATAGATAAAACAATAATAAAAAAACTAATAACTTCTTGATCAGCATCGTAAGTGTTATTAAATTACCTACCTGAAAAAAGCAAATTATCTAATTACACTTGTAATAATATATTTACACTTATAGGCTACTGTTGACTTTCAAGACGGTAAATACATATAAAAGTTGGTAAGTGCTGATCGATTTTGATTGGACACTCCAATCACCATCAGACCCAATAGGCGAATGATCATGGGTAGTGATCACCCACATTCGCCTATTGAGTCTGATGATGATTGGAGTGTCCAATCGAAATCGATCACCACTTACGAACTTTTATATGTATTTAAGTCTTGTAAGTCAACATTATTTTAAGTGTAAATATATTATTACAAGTGTTATTAGACGTAGGATATTTTTGCTTTTTTTTTTTTAAATATAAAAATAGCAAACAGTACGGGGCTCGACATATGCTCAGAAGAAGAGTGCATTTTATTATAAATTCCTTGTCCCTAAGGCAACATTTTTGAGTTAGGCATATCGGTATCTCAGTAGTTTTTAATTTAAGTTAGTAAAAAAAAATTGGAAATATCTTCTAGTTAGGCGACTCCAGACTTCTTTAGTCACATAACTTAATCTTAGAGAATAACATCTAAGAGTCAGTATCAATGAATTTTAACTTAGGCCTAACTTATTTGTGTTTAATAATGTTTACAGTGTGGTTGTCTGTATTTGATATTGTAATTATTACTTTTTAGGTTATTTTCCTGCTAATTAAGGTAATTGAATAACCAGGCTGTAAGCTCCTTACTATTTGAGTAGTTGATTAGGTATCTTGTATGAGTTTAGAATGCGTTATGTGTGAGCAGAAAGGATTGAGGAACTAAACCTTGTAGCACTTCTTTGCCGAAGTAAACTTACTTAGAATGTATCTTGCATCCATTATTTTCTGCGTCTACTGTGTCTATAACTTACATTTTATTTTCTGTTCCTAAAATCGCTTCAGAACTACTTCGGTCGAGAAGACAGAAGTCAAGATAAAAAAACCGCGGACTAGGAGGTATTAAGTTTTTCTCCCAATAGCGCGATTTTGCGTTCTGTAAAGCTCTATTTGAGCGGGTGTTAAATGAGTCTCTCTTTTAGGAAATTGTGTTTACCGGGAAAGTACTCGTCTTTAAAAAGATGTGGGTCTTTTTGCTTTATAAAGGAGGTGCTTTTGGCTAGTACTGTTATAGGTAGTGTGCATTTTGTGTGTTGTTGTAAATGGAGAATAAAAAAACTTTTGTATTTTGCTTGTTTATTGATATATTATATATTTTTATCAAATTTGGCAATTTTGTTTATTTATATTCTAAGCTATCAACATTTCAATTTAAAAAAAATAAAAATAAAACACAATACCTTTCCTCTGGCGGCAAACCTAATTACTTATTAAAATTAATGTTATTTAAATAGGAAATAAATCTGACAGTTTTAAGGGAATATTTTATAGTATAAATCCAGCCCGGTTAAATGGAAATTCGCTTAGTCTGCAGGTTTGCTGCGGCAGGGGTATTTTTATTTTGTTTAAGTACTACAATGAATTTAAAGGGGTTTAATAGTAGGCTATATTTCATCACTAGGGCCTAAAGTGTCAAGTGCTCCGAGCTCAAGTTTTACGATCGAGGTGAAGCCAAGGTTGGAAAATGAGCGAGGGTTGAAAAGTCACCTTTTGCCCATATGAAGAACTAGCCCTATATTTTTGTTGTATTTCACCGATATTTGAACAAACTATGTTACAAAACGAAAATACTGTAGTCTTAATTTAAAGATTACCTCTTAAAACTACTTCCAACTTGTTTTCAATTTAATTTGCTAATAGAAACAAGCAACTGTTTAGTAAGTGATTCAATCACGTTTATTACCTACGGTTGTGTTAGTAAGTACATTATACTATCGATATGTCAAACTATTTACAATAAGGCAACAATGAACAACAATCTATTAAACAATCGATACATACGAAACATTCAAAATTTACAACTGGGTTGACAATAGCTGATTTTTACTCCCTAGGGCCTAGAGAGTAAAAATGCCACTTTAGACCCGTAGCACATGAATTATACTACCGGCTTTTTATGCTGCAGTATGACAGAAAATACTTTGTTGTCATTTAATTATCATTTAGCTTTATGTTTTTGTGTATGTATTACGTTTAATAATCTAAAAACCACCATAGAGACTGCTTGTATTAGGTGGTAGAACAAGCAGACGTGATTGTTGTCATAGTTGGATGTGTACAGTTGACTATGACATGTGCAAATCGACCAATTTACTTTTTTACTTTGTGAGCTGAATACATTTTGCATTTGAGAAAATTTCCATTCCTTGATGTTTGATTGGACTGTATCAAACTTTGATGGTGTTTGTTGACTTTTCACCTAGTTTAAAACAAATTTCATATAGGCTATATTCTACTCTTCTTAAATATACTTAAATGTTATTTTATTTTCCAGGTAAGATCCAGTCCTTTCATCACTCTTGTAAGTACATTCAGTTTCTTTAGTTTGAAGCAATATTATGATTTCACTTTTATTTTTAAAAACTATAAGTTTATTCTCCATTTTCCAAACATTTTTAACCATTTCCCAAAAAATGTAACAAAACTGAGTTATATTAAGTATAATAAAAAATTTAAGCAAGTGATGCTTATTAAGATTACCTAACTCTTGCCGGGTATTTGATCTAATATAATCACCGGGGGAACAAGCTGGTCTAGTGGTTAGAGCGCGGGACTCTGGTTCCTGGGGTCCCGGGTTCAAACCCCGCCAAATCACCAATGGATTTTATCTAAGTGATATTGCCGTAACCCCTAGGTCTAGCCTGAAGTAATGTGAAAATCAATTCCGGGCTCATGCCTAGCTTCCTAGGAAAAAAAACACAAAAAAAAAGAAAATAAAATCACCAAATGTTTAAGAATACTGGATGTAGTTCAATACCTTCAATAGGGATTTAAACATTTTTAAACCAACAAACAATTTTTTATTGTGTGTTATTTCCATTTACGCAGTTGGCAATTCTACTTTTTTGTTAGGGAATGGTTCAATCAAAACTAACTGGTTTGTGGTCTTAGCTGTGCAGCATCGACCTTGTATTTGACAGCATCATCAATTTATAGTTCAACGATAAATGGCAAATCGTTGCAATAAGGATCTTGCTTGGAATCGAATCAGTGACTTTCAAATTTGAATACGATAACCACTCAGCTACCCAGACAATTTTTGTGTTATACAGAGAATGCTTTGTAATCCTTTTGAACCAAATAATTTTTTGTGAGTACCGTAAACAATTTTATACTGTAAAAGTTAAAATCTTCCTTTCTCTGAAATCATGTGTAAACAAAATCAACACTGTATGTTCCACACTCCACAGTATTACAGTATTAATATGTCATCGATAATTAAGACAACATAGTGTAACAAAATCTATTCACTAAAATATACATCGCTCAATTGTATCCCGGTGTTTAAAATATTGCGATAATTACTATTACTGCAATGCATCATTACTTTGGCATCCAGGTTATCTCCGGGTGTTGTAAAAGATGAGTTTTTGTGACGGATGGTCCAATTGTTGACCCTGATAATATGTTGACATGGCAGTGGCTGGGTTATCTGTTTATCCGCTGGTTAGCTTTAGTCTGCCAACAACTATGAGTTCCAACAGGCCAGTGGATTTCTATGTTACAAGGGAGTTTTTCAAATTTGCAGACGTCATTCGAAGGAACACCCACTGTCCTAAGTTTCCAGGTTGGTAATTTTTCACAAATACAGATCTTGTTCATACGACAGCATTTATTCAGCAATGTTTGTGTTGTGACTTGAATTTTCTTTTAAAATGTGTACTTTGTACTTTATTGGAATAGTGTCTCAGACCCTGTGTGTTATTTTTAGCGTTGTTAAAACGTACCTACTATATTTCTTGAGAAATTATGTTTATTACGTCTTGGATCTAATGCTCCACTCGGTCACCTATATAACCTCGTCATCTACAGTGTGTTTATTTGGTACAATTTTCTATCTTCACTGACCATACTAGCAAAACACATTGTAATATAAGGTGCCTAATACTCGAGTCTTTTTTGTGAATTGATCAAACA